TTTTATCCTATCTACACTCTCTACCCTCTCTACCCTCTCTACCATCTCTATCCTCTCTACACTCTCTACCCTCTGTCTCTACCCTCTCTACCCTCTAATCTCTGTGATCTAGATTGGATATAACAAAAAACCGTAGGACAATTACAGGGTTGATTATTCATTGGATCCCACCCCCTCGCTCCACTCTTCCTCAGGCCTTCTTTTCCGCTCCGCAGCTCCCTTCGATCCTATCATTGGATCCCCCCCCTCGCTCCACTCTTCCTCAGCCTTCTTTTCCGCTCCGCAGCTCCCTTCGATCCAATCATTTCTTTCCCTTTTTCAAATTTTTACCTTATTTTTTTTAGCTTTTTCGTTTTTTTTCAACAATTCCTTAACCTTAAATCTCCATTTCTTTTGTTAAAAACACAGATGTACTTATTGTTAATTATATAGATTCCAAAACTATACTAATTCTAAATTACTGTTATTTAAATGCAATAAGTTTGTTTCCGTTACTTCTTACTTATGTTGCATTTATTTTTAATCTTAAAAATTAAATTTTAATTCCTTTCATAAGAAAGATAAAATCTAGAAGGAAAAAATTACTTGTCACAGCATTAATTTAATCAATTATGAAACACAAAAAAATGCTAATCCAAGGCTTTGACCGAACACAAAGAACATGTAGAATTATGGAACCAGAAAAGTGTAAAATGAACAAAAAAGAGACAATCCTTGGTTTTTGTCCCTTCAGAGAAGGGTTCGGGCTAAATTACTGCTATAAGATGACGGTTAGGTTTTAGGGTTTTTGTAGATTCTGTAACACTCCAGTATATGCTCAAGAGTTGGATTTGGTGAAATCTTTGCAATTAACCCTATCCCTGCTGGGGTACTTGAAAACCAGGATATGCTGGGGAGGGGTCAATTTGACCCCCCCCTCTAAATCCCATGTTTTATGTCCAAATATGACAAATGATACATCATTAGAAAGCTCTTGTGCTCTACTTTTAGAATCTGCAAAAAAATTTGCAAATTTGCAAAAATTGAATTTTTTATCGCAAAATCCAGTTATAAAGTAAAAATGTTTGCAAAAAAAAATTTGTCCAAAAAATGAAAAATAATACATTTTTGAAAAGCCCTTGACCATGCCATTTCAAATATGCAAACATTTTTGCAAAATTTTAAATAACCTGATTTTTAATCCAGAAAAACTAAAAATGTGCAAATTTCCTTTGACAGGTTGTTTGCAAAAAAAATGCAATTTTTTTTTCGCAAAACTTGTGTAATCCGTTTCCTTATGTCATAGGCTTTCCAAAAAGCTAAATTTTATCAAAATCTGACAAGTGAAAGTGGGTCAAAACAAAGATTTAGTTTGTTACAGGCAAAAGCAGTAATTCAGGCAGTGTGCCTGAGGACTCAGGCAGTTAGTATTAAAGCCCGGTTTTAGGCTTAAAGGGAGGGCTTTGGGTATGTAAGAAAAGTAAGAAAATTTCAACAGCCTCAGACCAATACTTTTTGAGTTATGTTAAAAAAACTACAGGGGGGGGTCAAATTGACCCCCCCCCCAGAAGGAATAGGGTTAATACCTTGAAATACCTTGGAGATAGGGGGGGGGGGAATTTCAAGTTAAAAGTGAAAGAGACATTTAATCTTTCGTTTTCATCAAACTTTAAAAATGTATACTAAAAAATGTTCAAATATGTAAGCTTCAACTCTGCAAATAAAATGTTTCTCTCTATAACCTATCTTTTTGACTTTCTTTATATTTTTTTGATATATAATTTTTTTTACTTAACAGTTATCAATTTTACATTTTATCTTTTCCACTATTACCCTTATCGGCGAATTTTAATTCACCAATTAATCAAATTTTCAACAGAAAAACAGGTTAAATGAAAATTGATCTTAAATATTAATGAATTTGGGTGAAAATGTTCCCTTGCCACGTTTAAAATTAGAACTTTACTGTTACTTTTTAAATACTCTTTACTCTTAACTTAATTACTATCTGTAAAAGTTATTGCTTAAAAGTGTTGGTGGCCAGTCCAGGGATATCTATCTATCTATCTATCTATCTATCTATCTATCTATCTATCTATCTATCTATCTATCTATCTATCTATCTATCTATCTATCTATCTATCTATCTATTTATTTATCTATCTAATTTCTAATCTATTGCTGATGTATTTATCTATCGATGTATTGCTGCTAGGTTTGCGGTTCTTTCCTTTTGTTTTCCTGATTAGTTGAAATACTTTACATTGTCAACACAATTCATAGGTAGACAGATAAACAGATATACAGATACCAAATAGACAGATAGACAAAATAAACAGATTGACGGAGAAGCAGATAGACAGATGGAATTATGTTAGACAGATAGATAGATAGATAGACAGACAGATAGATAAATGATAGACCCAAAAACAGAAAGAATATATAGAAATATAGCAAACAAATAGAAAAAATTAAAACACAGATAGATAGATAGATTAAATATAAAAAGATATATGGATAGAAAAATAGACAGACAGACAGACATACAGACAGCAAGAAATATACCCTTTAACTGATAGACAGAAATACAAATAAAAGTTTAGAGCTCCAAGAAAGAAAGAAAGATATTCTTTCTTACTGATACACAGAAACACAAATACAATTTTAAAGCTCCAAGAAAGAAATGCTAAGATGGGTTGATGCCGTTGGTCACCAATCCATTCACAATACCTTAATTGACAGCTGGAATAGAATTTTATACGTCCGTTACTGGTTGGGAATCAACTGGATAATTTGACGAATGCCGCTGACCTGCGCGGCCCGGTCAGACTCTGATAATTAACCTAGGTCACATGGGGCAACTTGAGTGACGCAACAAGTCCCATCTAACTTTTAAATATCCTCCTCTTGTGACGCAATTTCAACAGTACAAGAAGTGCTAATATTCCGGTAAATGTTTAAATATGCCTCCCCCCCATACCACCCCGGTCAATCTATGACGTAACCTCCCTCGTATGACGCACTTAGAATGACGCTATAAATAGCACGTGACAGTTTTTGCGTGTTTCCCGTTGCTAAAATCATCCTTAGTATTTACCATTGATTAGCTAATTTGAGTTTCTATTATTTGCTATATTTGCATCTCAAGATGATTGACATGCATTCAACAGATTTTCAAATGCAACAGGATGCAGCTTATGCTGATAGATATACATAGGAAGTGCGTGGGGGGGGGGAGGTGATGGAAAATATAGAGTGGGAGGGTCGGGGGGTTTAGTTATCTCAAAAGAATAATTTATGTATCCAAAAAAGTTCTAATTCCCCCCCCCCCAAAAAAAAAAGGGGGGAGGGTGAATAACTTACGGGAAAATATTTACCCCGGAAAGAAATAATTGTTTAGAAACTACAATTAAGTAGATAAAGGATTCAATACGAATTGTTATATCTGAAGAATAATTGTAATCGTATCAAGGAAGATGATTGAAACCTGAGAAGAGGAAATGTATCCCCCTCCGCACTAAACTAAACTTAAATTATAATTTAATTTTATCATTCGAATTCGGTTAAAACTGTACAATATTTAAAACAAGTAGAAAAGAAGCTTTTGGTGAAGATGACTTGAAGGGGGGGGGGGTATCATATATCTAAGTAGAATATCTAGTTGTATTGAAGTATGTAGGGTGGGTGCTGCAAGGATTTCATCTAACTATTTAACTTTGCCTATCAACTCATTTCATCAGATTCTAAATCATACAATCCATCTTTTCATCCATCCTTAACCATTAAACTTCATCCATCTTTAACCATTTAACTTCATCTATATTTTCATCCATCCTTAACCTTTAAACTTAATCCATCTTTTCGTCCATCCATAACCATTAATTATATTCATCCTTTCATCCATCTTTTCATCCATAAATTCTAGCTAATTGATTAAAAATTTAAAAAAATCGATCCTTAAAACGTAACCACCCAAATGGATGAATTTGAACGTCGACTTTGCACTCAAACTAAGTAGTTATTCATCATTAAAACATTGTATACAGGGTGTCCCACGAAACATGACAGTTGGTATAAATAGTTTAGAATGTCTTCTTCCATAATTTGATAAGTTTTTTAATACGAAAGACAATAATAAAAATATTATTTAGGAGTCATATTATAGTAACATTAATTTCAAAGTAAAATATACTAGAGCAAAAGATTTTTTAAACGAAATAAACTGCAAACAGCCTTTAATATCTTATACACTGTATGGAAGACGACATTCAAAACTATTTATCAACTGTCATGTTTCGTGGGACACCCTGAATGTCACAAATAAATCCACAATTTCTCCACAAACTACATTATCAGCTCAATTACTACACATTGCCGGTCACTCCCTTTAACCATTTAGTTTATCCATCCTTAACCATTAAACTTCATCCATCTTTTCACCCATCCTTTCATCAATCCTTTCATCACTTTACTTATCTACAAGTTCTTAATTTAATTTCACTTATTAATCCGTCATTTACCAAGCCTTTATTCACTAATAACTACCACGGTAATTAAATTGATCCGTAGATCTGCATAGTATGGAGATCAAGGCTTGATCCCAATAAGTTCTGACTTTTAGTTTATTGGATGAAATTCACTGTCCTTAGACACCATTTTTTCAATTTCAGTTATTCAACGTAAGATGAAAATGTTTCTATAAATTTAGGTATTTGGAATTCAAAAATTCTTTCTTTCTAATTTTATAATCCCTACATCTTTTCAACCTTAAGTCGAAAACCTTTGATTTTACAAACTATGAATCAACATTATAAGATCATCAGGTTGCAAATTGCATAGATATAGGAATGATAAAATTGAAGTTTGTAGCGAGTAAATAGTTCCTTTTGAAAAATGTCTAAATAATAATATTGGATGAATTGTGTATCTATCTACCATTACACGTATATAAGATGGGTTTTATCATGATGATGACGGATTTGTAAACTGAGAAGGATTAAAATCCGTTCTATGAGACAAACCTTAGATCAGGTTCAGGTTCAAATTCAATCAGCACCGGATGATGATCATTGGAGAGCAGGGTTGTTTGCACCCCCTTGGGACGAAGCTCCCGAGATACATTATACATTAGGTCATTAACTAATCAACACTCATAATCACTTCTTGGTTGTATTTTCACCGCAAGTTTGAGGTTGGGGACAGGGTATAGTTAATACACTGAACCCACGCAAGTTTAAGCGCAAATACCGCAAGTGTTTTTAAATATTCTTAGAAAACATTGTTGAGTACACTTAGCGCTGTTTGCACTGTCAAAGTTGAATCGGAAAAAGAGAGAGTGTCTGCAATCACGTCTGTAACGTCTGCACACCTACAGACGACTGCCCAACTGAACTGACAGGCCGTTACTCGACCGAACCTGGCCCACAAATTCCGGGCTGGGGCAGGTATTTGTAGATTTCAAATTTAGAATTTAATAACCAACTTTTAATCATGTTTGTTGGGATTTAACATTTTTCTGATAAAAAATTATTTCTTGAAAAAATATTGTTAAGACAAATGCAAGACCGGTATATTTGGGCTGAAGCGGGTTTCAGGACATACTAACACTGGGCCTTACGGTCACTTTAATAATTTAATGATTATATTTGCAAAACTTATTTTCACTTTTTTGAATGCTATAAAAAATTTAGTTTTGATGTAGATTTCTTGTAGTTCTTGTAATTCAAGAATATATTTTTTTTGATTCATCATTTAAACAATGAACAGCTGGTCATATGACATAATTTGTTTACCTTAGTAGTTTTAAAGAAAGAGCTTTCATTCTTAGGCTAAAAAACATACAGTGAGAAATAGAAAACTATGAATTTAATGTCGTCTTTTCCATTCTTTTACTTTAGAAATATTCACAAGGATTTTGATTTTTTTATGTATCTCTAAAAAATGTTAAGAAAACAATTACAAAACCCTCAGTGAGATTTCATAATTTAAAAAAAAACAAAGACCACGAGAATTCCCCTGTTTTCTGATTCTCACTGTGAACTCCTCCCTCCCTGCAAAATGAAACCTATTTATATAAATTCTATGAGTTAATACCATATCATATTGGACAATGCTGAAATCATTTATATTTTGCACTACCAACTAAATAATGAAATATTTCTCTACGTCATTTGAAAATATTTATATTTTGCACTACCAACTAAATAATGAAATATTTCTCTACGTCATTTGAAATATTTATATTTTGCACTACCAACTAAATAATGAAATATTTCTCTTCGTCATTTGAAATATTTATATTTTGCACTACCAACTAAATAATGAAATATTTCTCTACGTCATTTGAAAATATTTATATTTGCACTACCAACTAAATAATGAAATATTTCTCTTCGTCATTAAATATTTATATTTTGCACTACCAACTAAATAATGAAATATTTCTCTACGTCATTTGAAAATGGTTGCAACATTATGCGAAGTAGTCTTGATTATTCTCTACGCTTTCCAGAAGATGACATTTTAGTCGGACCAAAACATTTCTTGGAAATCAAATATTTGATTCGATCCTTTTCTATATCTTTTATCTATTCAGAGAAGGAGCAACCGTACACTTTAATAATATTACTTTTAGTATTAAACTTAGAGGTAGCCATTTCTATCATTTTATTTTCTACCTATATCTTCCCTTATGTTATCTCTCTTTATCCATGTATTATCTCCCTGTATCCCTATTTGTATTATCTCTCTGTATTTCTCCTTGTATTATCTCTCTGTATTTCTCCTTGTATTATCTCCCTGTATCCCTCCTTGTATTATCTCCCTGTATCCCTCCTTGTATTATTTTCTCCCTATATCCCTCCTTGTATTATCACCCTGTATCCCTCCTTGTATTATCTCCCTGTATCCCTCCTTGTATTGTCTCCCTGTATCCCTCCTTGTATTATCTCCCTGTATCCCTCATCATATTATCTCCCTGTATCCCTCCTTGTATTATTCCCCTGTATCCCTCCTTGTATTATCTCCCTGTATCCCTCCTTGTATTATCTCCCTGTATCCCTCCTTGTATGTATCCCTCCTTGTATTATCTCCCTGTATCCCTCCTTGTATTATCTCTCTGTATCCCTCCTTGTATTATCGCCCTGTATCCCTACTTGTTTTATTTTCTAGTATAGCTTTTTATAGTACCCTGCTGTATCACTCCTTCTAAGTTCTATCTGTATGATGTATCTGTTCAAGTATCTGTTCAAGTATCTGTATCTCAATCCTGATATCTCAACACTGGATTAATCTCTGGATCGTGATCTAAGGATCAGACTGAGACAAATCCAGGAGGGGGACAAAACAACTAAATCTTAATTTAACTGGGCTTTTCTTCTCTCCTCCTGGTTCTTTAGTTCTTTAGTTCTTTAGTTCTTTAGTTCTTTAGTTCTTTATTTCTTTATTTCTTTGTTTCTGTATTTCTTTGTTTCTTTGTTTTTTTATTTCTTTATTTCTTTATTTCTTTATTTCTTTATTTCTTTGTTTCTGTATTTCTTTGTTTCTTTGTTTTTTTATTTCTTTATTTCTTTATTTCTTTATTTCTTTATTTCTTTATTTCTTTATTTCTTTATTTCTTTATTTCTTTATTGCTTTATTTCTTTATTTCTTTATTTCTTTATTTTTTTATTTCTTTCTTTATTTCTTTCTTTATTTCATTATTTTTTTCACTTCATTATATATATTTTTTTTCTTTATTTCTTTAGATATTAATTTCTTCTTTTCTTTAATTCTACATATTATCATCATTATAATTAATTTTATTTCTAATATCTTATTTTTTTTCTTTTTAAATATCTTGAATTTTTGCACTTCGTGCTTTTAAAATATAATCTATCTTGCAGCAGACAGAGAGAGAAATATGTAGCAAGGATGACAAGACTTTAAAACCTGTGCATTATTTAGAGACCGAACAGTTTAGGAAGCTCTCCAAAAATAAAGACACGCCCTGTCTCGCAAAATATAATCCCCCCGTTAATGTTGAAGAATCATTAATAGAATGGGGGGGGGGGTATTTTGTATAAAAATTTGCATTTTTTTATTGCCTGGACATTTTTAATCTGAACGATTAAATCTCTAGATTGCTCAATCAGAAAAGTCTTTGTTGTTATCGAAAAGGAAAAAAATGGCGCAGAAAATGTAGAAAATTGAGAATTGATTAAATTTGCAACATCAAACGCTCAACTAGAATCAAACGAATCTAGTACAGACATATTTCTCGGATATTTTATTTAAAAATGTCTCAACTGATAAATGCGCAAAAACTACGCATGCGCCAATGATTGATTGAGAGAATAAAAAGCGTATCCTTACACCTCGATGATACCCAAGATGTGCTAATGTTCCTGATTTTCTACGCAGTTCTACGCAATATCACCCTAGGTATTCATGCGTAACATCGGATAATACAAGAGATTTCTTTTATACTTTTCAACTTTTTATTCAAATTTTTGCTTTATAGTTTGGATCAAAAGATTTGACCTACTGAAGTCTGATACTTGTCATGTGTCTAAATAAAGACTTTACAACGTGTTTCTAAACTCTCGTCAGTAAATTCTTCTAAACCCCTGTATAATCTGGATAAAAACGGCTTTATTATTTTCTGAAGTAATCTTTAAATATTTTTACTTGTACAGTTTATAGGTGTCAATACCGAATATATCTGAAAGGATATTATTATTCTTAGAACTATGAATATATTTTATTTGACAGATGAAGAAATAGAGGGCAAAAAAGTTGCGATTTAAAATACCACATTAATTGATAGCTCATGCACTGTATTCGATATAATTTCTTAAATATTAGGCATTGATTAAATTGTAGATGATCCTGTATACTAAAAAAATGTTATGTAGATGTATATATTTAATATATGATTGATTCGATTTCGAACTCTGTAATTATTAATACTTTCTGTCTGTATGATAGAAAACAATTTAGAATTGTGATTACTAACTCTGTAATCATTCTGTATGATAGAAAGCATATAGAACTGTGATTACTAACTCTGTAATCATTTATACTTTCTATCTGTATGATAGAAAACATGTAGAACTGTGAAAACTAACTCTGTAATCATTCATACTTTCTGTTTGATGATATAAAACATATAAAACTGTGATTGCTAACTCTATAATAATTCATACATTCTGTCTCTATGATAGAAAACATATAGAACTCTGATAACTAACTCTGAACTGATATAAACACTCTATAATATAAATGGGGTAACTCTGTAATTATTCATCCTCTTTGTCTGATAAAACTTTAAAATGCAAAGCTGAGTTACTTTCTCTGTATTCATGTATCCTCTCTGCCTGCTACAAACCTCGTAAAATGATACTGTGATAAAACTTCTCTTAAATATTTTGTTTATTTTATTATTCAATCTTCATGTTACTTTCTCCTGTTTTCTTCATATATTGTATAAACCACAACAATGCAAACTTTTTCACAACTCATACTTCCCACACAACCCCCCCCCCCTCTCCGCTATGATGTCTCACCTTTCTTCTTAATAATTCTGGTTTTCCTCTTCCCTTTTTTCTTTTTTTCAACCACCCTTCCCTTTTTTCATCTTTCCCCCTCCCTTATCCTCTCCGTTATTTTCAATAATCCTTTCATTTCAATTTTCACTTTTTTATCTTTCCTCCTCTAATTTTTTTTCTTCATGATTTTATTCTTTTTTTTTCAATCACCTTTTCATCCCTCTTTAATACTTTTTTAAAATCTTTTTTTCCTTCCTTTTATTTTTTCCTCATCCTCTTATTCTTTTTTTTCAATTATCCTTTCATGCATTTTTTTTATCTTTTTTCATCTTTTCCCCCTCCCTTTTATTATTTCCTCATCCTTTTCTTTTCTTTAATGTCCTATTTTCTATTTCTCGTCCTTCTAAACTCTCTTTAAAGTTTCTTTTCTTTTTTATCTTTATTTTAAACTCTCTTTATTGTTTCCTTTCTTTTTTTTATTAATTTTAAACTCTTTTTATCGTTTCTTTTTTATCTTTATCTTAAACTCTCTTAATAGTTTCTTTTCTTTATATTTATCTTAAACTTTTTTATAGTTTCTTTTCTTTTTTATATTTATTTTAAACTCTCTTTATAGTTTCCTTTCTTTTTTATCTTTATTTTAAACTCTCTTTAAAGTTTCCTTTCTTTTTTTTTCTTGTCTAAGATTGGTTAAGATTTTATATAATGTTTTGTACCCCCGACCTGTTTATCCGTTTTATTCCCGCTGTTCCTCTAGTCAGGATTCATACACCAGACATCTTGGACATTTTCTGAGTCCGGGAAAAAATCGGCATCATTGAAGTACTATCGGAGACCTCTTTGTATCGGAGACCCCGAC